TGAAATTAGTGTTTAGACCAATGCAACGTCCTTGGTCTTCGCATGAATAGAGAACGCATTGTGCCGGAGATTGATACCATTGCCAGCATAGTTTTTTTGAGCTGGTATTTCCATCGGGTCTTGATTTACCTGTGTAGTATGGAGAGTGAGTAGTTTTGGATTTCAACATCCACGGTATACTATCAGATTATTACCTTGAGGATGCCTTATCGATGGTTTACATCATAAGTTCTTTGTCTTGGTTGAGACGTGACAGAATCGTTCACTTTTGATTTCAAAATCTTCCGTATTGCGTAACATTTTTCCAAGTATGACAAAGATGCCCTTATTGATTGTATGTGTCTCGGTCTAGATTTGAGAGTATTGTGTTCACGAATCTCTACGTGCAAGTAAACCAAATTACTTTCTCTTGACAGCGACTGGTACTCCTCCCAACGCATTGGGTGCTCGCACTTGAGATAAATGCCATAGTTATCAAGAGAAATGTAGAATCCAAACATCTCGTTAGAGTTCAATTTTCATTTTGCACTCGTGACCAAACAGTATGCAAAATCTAAACGTCAATGACACTATGATGCTATGTATTCAAGGGTCTCATTCCAATCATTTGCTAATTTGACACTCTTAGCCATGAACTGTTCCGCCACGCACTTTTGAACATCTCCTAAACACGAGATTAGGTCTATTAGACATTTATTTTTAGAATGCGTAATTTACCGATGCATGGCCGTCTTATGATTTACTTTCAATGAAAGTGCATCAATAGACGACTACCCTAGCCTAAAAGAAAATCTCACGGGGATGTGAAAGGAAACAGAAAATTATCTTAATATTTCTCAAGATAATCTCATCAACTGCAACTCAGATGATATTGAATGCGCTCGAAGAAACATCCATAACCACATCAACCTTCTCGCCCAATGGCAGGTATCAACGCTAGCAGTTTAGGTATATCTAAAGTCAGATACTCAAAATACAGCACAAGTAGATAAGGCTGCTTTATGTAATCTATCATAGTACAGACCGTGCAACTGGAATGAACATTAATGACAAATAGATATCCCATAAAGATATTATTGGTCATATTAGTCTTGAAATAAGTCCATTCGTGTACAAAAGTTATTTGATATGATTCAAACGTTTTTACACTTCTCTCCTTTGATCTTGTACTGAGCTTTCACCATTGATTTATTGTGGATAGATAACCTATCCTTATGTACATCTTTTATTGCCACCGTATCTCTTCCCGATAAGAAAGAAAATAGTCGATCAAGAAGTCACGTCGTGGCTATTTGACATAACAATTTCTTCCAATTCCTGCTGCAAGAAATAAAGTCATTTATAACCGTGGTAAGTTTCTTTTATTTTCAAAACTATATTTTCTTGATATTTTTGAAACAAATCTTGAAATTGTTTGTAATTTAACGGTAATCAGTTATCATGTTAGTGCGATACTAGTAAAATCTGGCAAATGCCAGGTTTGATTATGGTAAATTTTTCTGCATTTTTTGTATTAATTTCACTACTTTTCGTCCAATAATTTGGAAATAATCATTTTAAGTTGCTTTCGCATGCATAATACTCGCCAAGAAAAGCCTTGTGAGCATGATGCGGGAGTCATCTTTCTCTTTCATAGATGATGGAGAAGTTGCTTTCAACTTGCTTGCTTATTTGGAAACGTGCACAGCAATAAATATGAAAGAAGATATGAAATGTATCTGACCCCTTCTTATCCTATCCGCCCAAAGAAGTACACAATGATCAAAACAAACATGTTATAGAAATGATATGAAAAAAAGTTATGACATGTATCCGATCATTCTAATCTAATCAAGAAAATACTCACAATGATCAAAAAATCATGCTATAGAATTGATATTAAAATAATAAATTCTATAAAAATTATGAAATATACTTGGCCCTTATGTTTCAGCCAAAACTAAACTCACAATAATTAAAACAAACATGCTATAGAAATGATACAAAAGGAAAAAAGTGAAAAAAAGATGAAAAGTACGTGAGTTGTTAATTTTTTAACTTCTTCTCTTTCGTGCGCAACTCGCTGCCACCGAAAAACTTATTCACCTATTTGCAACTTCCTGCAAACTTAGAAGCACAATAAAAGTTGGCTATCCTCACGTCACCCGCAAATTTAAGCTCATGCATCCAGGTGCTGTATCGTGAGCAAGCATTTTTGCACTAACTACCTACTCCATGCCTTTCCATTGCTTGCGTGTGCGGAAGCTACCTATGAATGTCTTTATAAAATATGGAATTTTGGCAGATTGGCCAGATTAATTTTGGTGGCTAGAAAATAAAACTCAAAATTTTAGTAGTCCTATGTTAGGATCACCTGAAGTTTATTTTTCGTTAATGGGAAATATTGTATCCCATTAAAGAAACTATCGGTTAATCATCATATATGTTGTTGTATATAATGCATATAATTTTTTAATGCATATAAATGGTGTAAATTGCAAGTAATTTAAGTGTTAATCCAGTAAGTTTTCGGTCTCAAGAAAAGGATTGCAACTGGGTTAGGTCAGAGATTTCATCCTTACCATATCGAAAACAGTATGCCATCCAATCCCTTGCCCAACATCCCAATCGCAAGGGCAGCGCTCCAACAACGCGGCTATCTCCTATACCGAATTCAGGAAACGAAAGCATGCTGAAATAAATAATTATGCTTTTTATTTATTTATGTATGTGATGGCGAAGCTGGCCTATTTGCGCTTGGATTGCAGACTCGTTGAACTCCACTCAGTACTCATGAGACTAGGAATATCCATTACTAACCAGTACATCTATCAATCTATCCTCATAAATGTTGGAAGATCTCCATATCCTTAATCCTATGGTTTCATCCATCATCTACTTCCAAAGCAAGTTTTAAGAGTAGATAAGGATAACAAAATATCCACTTGGTTATGATCAACACGCAGGGAATCGAGATAATGTAATTAAAATGTCATATTGAAGGAACCGACGAGTCCAATTTTGAAATGCTTTCCTCGTTGTCCTTGTGCTCTGTGTTGTTGACAAAAACAATTTCTTGGAGACCTAGCCGTGAGTCCTATTTGAAACGTCGAAGGCTGAAAGCTGTATGCTATGAAGTAATTTTGTACAACTGGGAAGAAAGCCCAATTAAGCATAACCCGCATAATATGGTTTCTAGCGATATTTTCGAATCAAAGAAGAGAATCATGGTAATAATCTTGTATTTTTCCTTCCTTCTGTCAAAATTAAAAGCTTACTGTTATGGTTTTTCTTTTCTCTCAAAATCCAAATGATCCTCCATATCCAAATCCAAATCATCCACATGAAGAATATTTGGACATACTTCGTTCCAAATATTCAAGGTTAGGAACAATTAAATTTTTCAGGGAAATGATCTTGTTTCTAGTCCAAGAATTATGATATATATATATATATATATATATATATATATATATATTAAAATGTTGAAATATTTAACAGGTGCCAAATTTTAGAAAATGTTTGGCAGATCAAAAAAATTGATCCGAAACAAAAATTCCTAATTTTGGAGCTTCAAAAACAAAACAAAATGAAAAACAAGCAATCCAAGACGAATGATTTGGATGACATTTGATTCTTTCTACAATGCCCATAGACAAAATGATTCATTTAAAATCAATTTTTTTCTGAAATCCATTTACTCGGTGAAAAATCGTATCATCATCTTGTCCAATAAATGATTATATTGTCACCTAGCTAAGATTCACCTTCCAAGTTCTTGCATACCAAATACATAATTTTACTCCTGTTATATATAATTTGGTGTAATTTTTCATAGAAAAAAAATGATGACATGGTCTGAAACATTTCGTGGAAATTTGTACAAAGCTCCTACCCTCAACATACAACACACATTTTGGATCATAATTGGAAAGTATTTTCTATATTAATCAAATACTTGCACTCTGTCTGCAATAATCATGTGTATCTAGTATTATTATGTATGCATAAAATTAATTAGATATTTCCTTAGATAGATTGTGTAGACTCAATATCCAACAGCAAGAATCTCAACTCAACTCAATCTTCCCACATGTATCCCTCATTTAACAAATTTCACATCATCGATATCACTTCGCGTTTGTAAAGGGAATGACTTGAGAGGATCGTCAAGATATCTTTGTGCTCTGAATAGAGTGCCAAAGTTAGCGAACTATGTGTAAACTTTGATGGGAATATGGGAAATGAGACTAGCTAAAAGTAGTATGGTAGTTTAAATTCAGTGCAGAGTGTGTTAGGAATTAGATTATGACAGGTGAATTGAGGAAGTCTACACTTCCTCAAATATCCGGTATTATGTGAAAGGTGTGCGAGCGGAGTCCATGTTGAATGGGGTCTGTGGCGGTGCTATGTCAAAACCTCAAACGATGAGGGTTCCAATCGAGGAAGCCATGAACGAAAATAATTCTCCTTCTCATTTTGTTGGTGAAAATTACCCAACAGCAACTTTCAAGAAACAAGAAATTGGGGAGGAGCAATTTTGCGGTGCCGCTAGGATTATGTGTTTCTAGAGCCATGTTAGGAAAGCTGAGAACTTAAGCATCACCTTTACTTGGTTTCACTCACTTTCAACGATGTTCCCTACCACTTAAAATTAATAGTTTTGCCCCAACTCCCACACGTGTGTATCCCATCATCTACTGAATCTCCTTTCTGCATTTCAGCAAAATCTTACATCTGGCACGACTTTGTAGTCCGTTCCCTTGTGTTCCTCAGATTTCCAAATCCATATGAAAATCCTTGGAAATCACAACTTCACGAGTCTATCAAGCCATCTCCCAAGAACCTTGTTCTGGGCGTTCGAAAGAGAGGGAATGTGCGTTGAACCTTCCGGGCTTGAAAAAGCTACAACGAAAGATCTTGTAATCTTGTAACAAATTATCAGATTATTATCACCTTTTCGATTAGGGGCTTAATATACTGAGAACTCGAAGTAGGTCTCAAGACTCGATATCTTTTTTGCCATGCCTACCTATCCTTCAAACTCGGTTCTCTCTATTTGTGTAATTCATTCTTCACTTCTAGATCCTCTGAATGGTGTTTTAGCTATAATTATCTCGTCGGTCATTGCAAGAATTGGCTGAATTTTGATCGACATTCATGTACACAGGACTACGGAAAACCTCGAACATGTGATATGGTACACCTCCAGCATGGAATTATGAACACGATCCTGACATTGAATAAGATACAGCTCCGCGTAAGCAGAGTGAAGGATGATGAACCTATGATGAGTTTTTTTCCATTTAAAACTACTCCTGCTCCAAGTGAAGTGATAATTCTGAACCTAGAGAAAAAATATATATAGAGCGATTTTTCAATCAGCTTCGATCTCGATGAAGAGGCGGTGAGGTGGAATCCTCGATGAATGCAGCAGGTACTTAGATCACGCCTCCGCGTTGATCGTCTCGAAACGTGGCGTGAATGAAAGGAACTTCTCCGATGATTCACGCGTTAATACTCTGGCTCACGAAGTGACAGGCGATGCCGGCTCCAGCTTCTGCAGATGGTGGCTCGCCCTCCCGAACATCACCAATGCTCACGAGCATATCATTGCCCAAGGTCTCAAAGGCTCTGAACTATGGCTGGCTCGGTGGGGAGAAAGATGATTCCCGATTTCATTTCGATCCAAATTTCTGCATCGTCGGACTCACCACTCGAAATGTTTGCACAGCACTTGCTCGCAATCCTGTGGACCCACCTCGTTGTGCATATCGAACGTCGTGCCATCTTTCGTGACCCTCACGTTCATTCCCTTCTTGCACATTTTCATGCACGTCGTGTACGCGATCTCGACGCGGCCGTCGGCCGATGACTCGAAGGATGCGAGCAGTTGCTCCGAACCTTTGGACTTGCATTTTTTCCCCGTGCAAACCTCCACCCGGGGAACTGACGTCGACGAACTGACAATCTCCTTCTTCTTGAATAACTTGCTCTTGATCTTGCTCTTCCCCAGGCTTCCGTCTTTCGTCGACGCAGAATGGCCGTTCTCTAACTCTTCCTCGTCGTCCCTCGACTCCGATGCATTGAAAGCATCCGCACGGCCCACTGTGACCTGCTGAATCTGGCTCGCCTTTGTGCCCTGCTGCTCCTCGGACCTGTCCGAGACTCTCGAGACGGCAGCGGTATTGGAATTCCACAAGAATGACTCCTTGAAGGTTCGGAAGAACCCCTTCCCAGCACCATTAGAGACTTGCACTGCAGAATCCGACATCCTGCCCGTGCCCTGTGAATTGAATCCTGGCTTTGAAACAGCTCGGCTCGTTCTGAGAAGAGCCTCTCCAATGGGCCTCAGAGAAATCCTGGAAATGTAAGCCGCAATCCTCGCTCCCTTTAATACCCACAAAATCTAATTCCCCCTGGGCAATCTAGCATCACAGCCTCGAAGAGATCTACAAACTATGAACCTGAAAATCCTATCCTCGAAAAATTAATTTTCAACGATATCACACTAGCTCTTGAGAGCAGCCCGTGCTTAAAATCGAAGCCTTCCTTCTTCACCTCGATCGTGTTCAACCGATTCTCCACTTCAATTAAGAAGATGAATTTCTGAGCTATACTAAAAGATGGCCGAAAAATTTGTCAATGTATGTACAGATGCTGTGTGTAGCCGTCGCTGCTGGGAGCTTGCAGGCGACGTTTTAAATGGGAAGAGGTAGCGTCGAGTGAGGCATTCAGAGAGATGATATGCAATCGCTCGACGGCCTGGTCCACGAGCAGAGTGAAATCGAAGGAACAGGGAAGAAACACAAGTTGGCTTGCGAAGGAAGGCACAGGGGAGGCGAGGCCAGGTGAGGTCAGGCCAGGAATGGACGGGACAGGCAAGGCCTGGACTCTGTAGGAAGCAAAGGATGAAGAGCCTCGGAGGATCAAGCCCCACGATTCGCGCTGTCGGAAGGTAATTGCCGCAGTCCCCTGCACGACTCTCTCTCCCTCTATTTCTCCACGCAGAGCAGGTCTACAGATATATGAGCGAGGCCTGTTCTGTAAGCGTGTTCTTCTAGAAGCTCGGTGTTAGTTCTGCCTCGCACGCCCGCCAGAGAAACTTGCAAGACCGTCCTACCGATCGAAAAGCTCGAGGTCAAAGAGGTCAATCAATGATTCGGACACCTACTGTACTTCCTCTGCTCCAGGAATCAGTCAAATGGAAAAGGTGGTCCAGGCCTACGTCGGGAGCTAGTCCTTGCGATACGATCCAAATTCTCCCCAGGGCTGCTATACTTCCATGATTTGCCCATGCAGGATCAGCGGCGTGTGCTGGAGACTATTCTGCTCTTCTTGCTTCCTTGCTTGCCTTCCGCCAAACGAACCAATCACCCTCGCTAGAAAAGCCGATGCTGCATCAGTTTGGCGTGCGTGAGTGGCTCCGGCTTTGGAGGAGCTTTCCTTTACTCGCGTCTTCCATATTGAACTTGCACCGCTCCTCCAGACAACTTCACTCTCTCCGCCGTCGTCTTCGTTCTTGTGCTTCATTACAATAAAATCTGCCTCGTGCTCTGTTTCTCAAGTGTATCGTCTCGTACAAATTTACTCCAATGCGCGGCTTTCTAATCTGACTGAAACAATTCTGAGCACCACAAGTATGAACACCCTGAAATATACATCTCTTATGCTTCGATCTGAACATCAGCTGTACATGAGACCATACAAGTCATACCAACAGCCAGTAACTATTTACTACAAACCTTCCAACGCAAACTGAACGTGATGATGAGAAGTCTTCAAAGTCCTCGTGAGGTGGGGTCCTCGGAGAAGGTGGACTGTGCGAGACCAGGAAGAAGTCTTCGCCAGACTCGGAACATCGATTCAGCTCCCGCTGCCGCCTCCAGATGGTCTCTCTTGCTAATTACAGCAGGGGGCAAATTGGGGCTCATTCTGGAGGCAGGACTGGGCACGTGCTGCTGCGCAGCGTTCTCCGGCGACCACGCCCTCAGCAGATCCCGTCGCGTGCAGGCGCGTGAGGAGCTGCTGCTGCCCTGCGGAGCATGTGACAGTGCACGCTGCGGGGACTGAGCGACTGTAATCGAACGAACGAGATCCAGAAAGGTTGAGAGGTCGCGCTCTGGCTCTCGATTCGCATGTTTGGTAAGCCATGTCGCGTCGTAGTGGTCGCTGGAGCCCCCATCAGACAGCAGCATACCCTGAATCTCTCATGGCCCGCAGTTTTAAAACTGTCGAAAATCAGTTGCTCTGTGACAAACATTCCACATTTTGTTCATTTCATTGGCGTACCGTCTGACGTGCCATGCTCCTCCAAACTCCTCTTGTCCCATCTTCCAGCTTCCCTCTCGCTTTCGTGCTGAGCCCCTGCGTCAGATAATTGAGTTTGGTAGGTCAGGAGAGCCGTATGCCATTCACTCCTTTGCACACTTTTCCTTTTGCACACGACGTTTTAGTGCACGCAGTGCACCAGAGTGAGCGAGCGATCAGCAGCATGCTGGCAAGTTCAGGCATGAAAATTATTGTAAGAGGTGGTTAGAGTTTGTGGATGCAGCCAACTCAACCCTGGTTCCGTAAACACGCATAGACGCTGAGTAGTAGTGTGCACGTCATGACGATGAGTTGAAGGTGCTGATGATGGCAAGGTGAGTTCTATTTCAGAGTGAGTACTCTGAAATAGAATATGGAGCATTTTTTAAAAGTATACATCGTTAAAACTTTTTTGATATTCTTGTCTGACTTGTGAATTCTTAATAGTACTGAGCTCGTCTATTGTGCAAGCTAACTGATGGGAGCTGAAGAAGCATCGCCACTACAGTGGTAAGCTAGTGAGATAAGGACTCCATGAAGCTTCTGGTATCTTAAACCTTCTTAGAGTAGGCGAGACGCAAAAGATGTGTCAGCTGTCAGCTGATCTGAGTAGCTGGGGATATGATTCCTTGTACAGCTCCAGCAATCGTTTTTTTGAGAGTCGAAATGTCTCACAACTTTCTACCGTTAGTGTCTGCCTCCTGATTTCTGACGTCAAATCTGTGGGTGCAACAGTCCGAACCAAACTTGGCTTCCAAGTGTGAGCAGTGAGAGTGGACATTGACAGAATCAGTCAAGTAGTGAACATTACAGAACTGGAGATGAGACGCTTCATACCTGCATCTACGTACTCTAACATCTATTACTAACTTAACTAGTAACTTACATTCACTCTTGATATTTGAAGTTCAAGCCCGAAACTGCTCACCTAAAAGCTGTACCGAGTTGGTACTTTACGACAATTTTTATATAGAGCCGACAATATCTACATATAAAAGTAAACATCGCAAGCCGAACGTAAGTTCTTGTGAACTTACGGAAAGCTTCCAGGCAGAGGTTGTCTTGAGTTTTCACTGTACGAAGTCATCAATCAAGAATTACGTCATTGCATCACATTTCTTCGTTAGCTGCAAGAAATGTCATCAATAGAGAGTTTCGTCATTGCATCACATTTCCTCGTTAGCTGCAAGAAATGTCATCAATAGAGAGTTTCGTCTTTGCATCACATTTCCCTGCTAGCTGCAAGAGGTTGTTGGCAAATTGAGTCGCCTTTCGCCACATGGAATGCAACCTTGCGTAGCGCACATCTCCTGATCATGACTGAAGTATTGAGCATTTTGATTCCTTCTGAAAACAGACTTTAAACGGCAGTGGAAGAGATCTAGTTTCTGATTTTGATGTCGAAGAAATTTTCTTCCGAAATCCAGAAATCTGATGTGAAATTAGGAGCTGAAATATTCTCATTTGAATTCTCGCTTTCTCTGATTTTTAATTCTACAACTGTGTATAACTGGATTACCTATTGTAATCCACCGACCCCTAGGGAGATGCAATAAAAGTCTATATCAAAAAAGCTGACGCCGGTGTTGCCTTCATCCATCAAATTCTTTCATGTTTCACTTTCACTCGAAATTTTCGTTAGGAAATGCGAGATTTATTTACTCCGCATCTGAAGCTTGAATTTGTAATATGCGACCTACATTATTGAAGGAAGACTGAAGACTTGTTTCAACTCGGTGATTGCTTGCGGGGATTGCAGATAGTTGATGCTTCGATAGTAGTAGAAAACCCTCATCGCATCGTGTTTGCACATCGTATGGCTGTTGTCCGAAATTTGAGTAAGATGGAAAGACTCGACATCTGTCCAGATACCGACGTTGGCAAGCTCATGAAGGATAAGTTTTGCGGATCTCAGAGTTTTCCGTGCATATTCGACAAACCATTGAATGTGCAGATCACTGGAGGAATCAAATCTTCTGCTTCTGACTTCAATTGGATGTGGAGTGCTGAACCATTGTACCAGCCTGACATGATTAACTGAAGTATGTAAATGTGCTAGTGAGCCCCCAAGTGATGCTTCTCCTGCACAGCCGTCTGTGCTGTACATAAAACCTTAAAGATCCTAGGACTTCGATAAGTCAATTTCTTAAGAATTGAGATTTGGGCCACAATCGATTATCCTATTGCACGGTAAAGTCCACTAACTTAGAAGAGCTTTCAAGATGACGCCCCTCTTTTAACACAGAAGGAAAATAAAGAAGATGTGGTCAATGCAAGAGGAAAGTACTGACCATACTATCAAGAAGAATTTCGTCTGTAATGTTTAAATAATGTTTATATAACAGTAGATACCATTCAAGAATCCGAAACATCATGCCATGCTGTGACTCTAAGTTCATATGCAAGCTCATTTTCTTTACATTGACCTGTGGTCTTGCGGCGGCTCATACTTGGTCGTAGTTATCAGAGAGCTGCAGCACTGACCTTCATGCATTCATCAGTTAGGATCCCTTCGGCGCAAGGCGCAAAATCCGCCTTCGGCGCTGCGTCCGCGGCGGTAGGGAAATCCTTCATATTTAGGTCAACCCCCGGACGCCTTGACTTAGTTAGGGTTTCGTTGGAAAGAGCTCGACGCACTGATTTCAACGAGCCCAAGAACGCCAAAAGCGGATAAGGACTCCGGGAGTTATGAAGGTTGTAAGATACTCAGCTCTTCGCCTATGCACAGGCGGAGAAGTTTTGTCCTATGCGCGGACGAAGGAAGTTCGCCTGCGCACAGGCGAAATGGGGTTTGAGGTAGGCGCGAAGTTCGCCTACGCACAGGCGTGCGCCTGTGCACAGGCGCTTCGGCGTCGGCGGGAAATCCGCCTTGGGCCCTAGAAATGCGCCTTGTGAGATAGAAATTGTACGGCGCCTTCTGCGCCAGCGCAACGCCGCGGACGAGCAAGGAGCCGCCAGAATAGTAAAATCCGTACGGACGGGACGGATGGATGCGCTCTTGGTCGGACGGAGTTGCGGCGGCGAGAGCGCCGACGGAGAGACAAGGAACGGACAGTCTGGACGGAGTCGGTTGACCGCTGTCAACGCATTCCGCGCCAGCGCATCGACGCGGACGGACTTCGCCTGCGCACAGGCGAGCGCCTGTGCACAGGAGGGTGAAGTTCCGCGCCGGCGGAAAATCCGCCGAGGAGTCCGCCTGCGCGCAGGCGGGAGTTGAACTTTTGTCCAACATGCGGACACACGCGCCGAGGCAGAGGAGGATTGGCTGAGGAGCGGTACGAACGAGTGTACCGCGCAAGGCGCAAAATCCGCCTTCGGCGCTGCGCACCCGTGTCCGCGGCGTAGTACGCTCGCGGAGTTCAAATTTGCCAATTCGAGCGTGAGAGTTAATTCGGCGTCGGCGAAGCGTGAAGCCGCGCGTGAAAGCGGAGACCGTTTTAGCGTAGAGCCGGCGCGGCCATCAATTGAGTCGTCCTTCACGAGCAAGAGCCGACCATGACCTTCGACCGGGAGACGGAGAGCGCCCCATTCTTGAATTCGCGATTCCATTCTCTAGTGCGAGCTGCGCGCGTCCATCTACTCGCTGCTAAGCATTCTCGACATCGCCGCGCAGAGGATTTCTTGGTTATTGAGGGAGAAGTGAGTGCGCGTGATTTGGAATTGAGGGAGATTAGAGTTTGCCGAGGAAGAAAGGAGC